GGGTCTACTCTGTAAGTCGCTTTGGATAAAAGCGTCTGACAAATGCAGAAACATAAACATAAACAGGATGCCTGTCCAGTTGAATTAGGGCTCATTCAGAGAAGGTTTTAACACAATGTAGTTTTAAAAAAAAATCTTATTATGAAAGTTTCATCGTCTCTGATCTGTCCAGTCCAAATCCCAAATCAATGATGTAAATCAGACCACTAATGAGTCCCGTTCCCAATAAAAAACTATGTCTGTGAACCCTGTTCTGAGCTGGACTCGTGTTATTATGTTGATAATGACCAATAATCCACTGATAGGGACTGACCTCTTGCTTTTTAACGGTCTGTGTGTGTTGATGGCAGCTGTATTTATTTCAGCAGCAGATCTCAGTTCAGTGCTGACATCTGAAACCAGCCTGCTGAAAACGGGGATAAATCATACAAGATACAGCTGTGGGACTTTTTATTCTGAACGAGAGTCCTACTATGGGTCCGAACAAGTAAGGAATCATAGATTTGGCGACACAAATTCAGTCTTTTAAAAAACCTGACCCTCAGAAAGTGAAGCACAAGAGAAGAAAATGACCAGCAAAATAAGTTTATATTCCAATAACAGGATTAATACAAGATGGGGACATGTTTTGTATCTGTATTTGTATCTCTATATATGTTTTCAGCCTACTTTTGAATTGAATTGGAAAAACTATTAATTAAATTAATACATATATACTTAATACTTTTAATGCTATACTATTAATTACATTAAATATATGAATAAAACTCAAAGTCAAGATTAAATTACTTGTAACTGTCTTTGTGTCAGTTTAGTAGAAATCTAAATAAATCTGCCCACTATTGCGTTGTTAAATTCTTGGATATCTATAAAAAAAAAGTTATTGTCTTAGCTCATGTTAATTGTCAGATTTGTATGTTTCTGTACAAAATTTGAAATGCAATATTGTCAAAATGCCCCGAAAACAAACGGCAAAACCATCTAATAACCGAAGACCTGTTTTAATGAACTATTCATTTTTTTACTTGCATATATTTTCCTGTGTGGACACATTTTGTATTTACCTGTAAAGAAGCATTAGCTCCCCCTTCTGCTTTTTGCCTTATTTTGTCAGGACAGCGAATAATAGGCTCTTATCATCCAGTTAAGTATTATAATATTAGTAATGTCAGTTTTTCCCTTTTTGAAACGTTTCCTCCGAGAAAGAAGTCAATATTTTCAAAATATAGGCCTGATTGTAAAAAATAAACATCCATCCATTTTCCATCCATTTGTCCTGCTTATTCTCACCTTTTTTTGCCTAAATAGTTAATTAATCAGTGGAATATTCTTTTATTTGATCAGAAGTGTGCTGAAAAAATAGACTAATCTGAACTTTTATCACTCAAATGACTTTTATTACTCAGATTGGTCTTATTCCTTGTTTGCTCACACATAGTTGTGCAACAGGACCACTATTTCACTTATGCTGATGGAAAATGTGTAACCCTCCCATATTCAATAATAAATAGGAGGAATAAGAATCAAACCAGCTCATGCCTTTTGACTTATTGAGCTTTTTTCACTCTGATCCAGGTGTGCAGACCCGGTAATAAATATCAGAGAGTGGGTGAAGACAGACAGGAGCTGGACATGTGATCCATAACTTACTGCAAAGGATGTGCGATATGAAAAATAAATACAAAAAACTGCTCCTGAGCATCAGCATCAAAACCAGAATTCTTCGTTTGGTTAAAAGATCAATTATGGAATGAACAGTATATCACTACAGTGGGAAATTGCCTTTGAAATAGCTTTTTACTCCAATAAAAAACTAGGACACGTTTGGTTTTGGGCAGAATGTGTAAAAAATATTGCTGATAGGATCCAGATGCAGGTAAAAAAAATACTTCCGGGGGACAATAAGGAACTCAAGAAACACATTTTTAGAAATCTAGAAGCAGGAACCAAAAGATGATAAAATCATTTAGTGTAAAACCCCCTCAAAACAAACAAAAATACCCCAAATAACCCAAACTTATATCAATTTAGATAATAGAAGTGAAAACTTAAATAAAACGTTTTGTACTCTAATGAAATATAACAACCTTATTTACTTTACGGGACTTACGGCTATTCATATCTATCAAAGAATGAACTGAATTAACTCCGTTTCTAATCTGACTCCATTATAAAGTGAGTTTTTTACTTTTGGTGGATTGTTCTCCACTGGTCAGACTGTTTTTTTGCTGGAGTATTTGGGGTTTTATGGAAAAATGGCCTCCGGAGTGCCTTATTAAATTGCTTTAAATGAGCAGATAGAAGGAGGGAGGTGATTTCCTCTCAAAACCGTGCAGGGATCAGCTCAATATTAGCTAGATTGCAACAGTTTTTATAGCAATCTCTGGATATTCCACAACCCACATCCAAGCTAGTTAGCTTCAGTTTATTTCAATTGGTTAATTTAATAGAAAAACCTTCTCACAGAACTTGTGCAGGTCAGCAGCTTCCCTCTCTCACTTATTCTGCTCGGATCTAAAGATCCACATGCAGCTTAAACATATTTCTTTAAGGTTCATTTCAGGTTGATTTATGGCAGAGTTTGCATGTTATGGTGTTGAAAATTGTCTTTTTTTTTAGGGAAAAAGCATGTCAAGTCTTGTCTATAAATGTGTGAAAGACCTCATCATGTCTAAGATCACTTCTGGTGTTAATCAGTTAGTGGAAATCTTCCTACTACAATAAAAGGGGCTTCTTCTACTTCCTAAATGGAAATGGAATCAATCAGATGCAAATAAAAGAAAACTATATCAGAAATTCACACTCAGTTGTGTTTCTGTGTATCTCCAATGCAAGAACACACACACACACACAAACACAACACACACACACGAGACTATGCAAAAATGTGGCATTGAGGTAATGGAGAAGTGACATTTTTGATTATCCTCCTAATTTGGACATGTTATTAATTCTGACCATATTGGATGACTTAGGCCAAATAAGTAGATAATATGAGAGCTGTCTTTGAATAGGATTTAGCTGTTATATAACAAAGTACAGCAGAACCTTTACCTCCGATCGCCTAAACAAATGAATTTTCCAACATACAAAGTGAAATTTGATCAAATATTCAACTCGACACCCGCATTAAATTTCAAACATACCTCTGTATGTATGACTCAGGCGCAGAGATTTTGGCAAAAATTAAGATTTTAATGAAATAAAGACGGACTCGCAGGGAGTGGAAGGCGAAAAGTACAAAATAATAAATCAGTTGAAATCGAGGATGCAAAAGGCTCATAAATGCCCAAATAAGACTCACAACGAGGATGAAAAAACGATGGAGTACAAAATAATATTCGCTCATAAGAGGTAAACAACGTTGAGATTTGAGGTCTCCTCCATCACTAAGCATACACCTCCGTTCACTAATATTTGCTTATAAAACCCCCTTTTTATTGATTATTTCTTTATCATTTATTTCTTTTTACATCTCTCTTCTATAAGTCATTTGTTTTATTGCTATGTGTAATTATCTGCAGTATTTATTAAGGAGTTATCGTAAGTTTTTGGAACCAATTCTAGGAATTACAGTGTATTCTAATGGAATATTCGAACCAACATACAAATATTTTAACATACTTAGTAGGAACGAATCTAATTCCTATGTAAAGGTTCCATGGTATAACAAAGTTACCAGTTACCAGAAATTGCCAGCAAAATTCTGTTAATGGAAATTAGTTTTTGTTTTTCCTGCGAGGCGGAGGTTGCAATATATTTTTGTGGAACCATGGGGAGTTTGAGACAAAATGACCATCATCATCCCCAATTCAGACGATCCAAACCCCATTCCTTTACCAAAACTGGATTATTATTGTATCCGCCCAAAGGTTTAAGCTCTGTATTATCTTTTCACACAAATCAAACCAATTATTTATATTTTTCTTATCAATTTCTGTTGTTATTCACTTAAAAATACACTCATTTAATCTCCTTTAAACATTTTTTTACAGACCCTTGTTTGTGTCCCTCTGGAAAACTGACCTTGTTGTGGAGTTGAACCTGAGACCATCCTTTTCTCCAGAATATCTCATCACTTGCACCTTCTTTGAGACAGAAGGACCATCATCATCCACAATTCAGACGATCCAAACTCGATTAACCTGCAAAACGAGGCCCAAATCTTAGACCAAAACTGGATTATTATTGTATCAGCCCAAAGGTTTAAGCTCTCTATTATCTTTTCACACAAATCACACCAATTATTTATATTTTTCTTATCAATTTATGTTGTTATCCACTTAAAAATACCCTCATTTAATCTCCTCTACATTTTTTTTTACAGACCCTTGTTTGTGTCCCTCTGGAAAACTGACCTTTTTGAGGAGTTGAACCTGAGACCATCCTTCTCCTCAGAATATCTCATCACCTACACTTTCTGACACCAGGGGAAGCCCGGCCCTTCCTTCCCGGGCTGTTTGCGGCAGGTTTTGGGGTCGCCGTGTTTACGTTTTATCTGTTTGCGGATGGATTTGGCTGCATCGGTCAGGCCCCTCCCTGGGAAGGTTCGGACCTGGAGTCAAACAAAGACCACTTAGCTCAGATTAGAGGAACAAAAAAACTGCCCGTGCTTGTTATTTCCTGCTGTGGTCATTCCCATCCCCTCCTTTCTGCTGGTGTCTTACTCGTTTTTTATTTGGTGGACTGTGTATTTGGGAATGCAGGCCATGTCTGTTAAATAGAAACATTATTTTGCATTCAGAAACATCATAATATCAGCTTAAGGCTCACAAACAGAATTGAAACAAGAATAGCTGAAAAATTAGGCAAAATGTTAATTTTTTTCATTCAATTTGAATATCTTTTAATAATTCAGCAATATATACATATATAGATATATATATTGCTGAATTATACTACACTATAATATTTCAGCAATATATATAGGCTATTGCTGAATTATTATAGTGTAATACCCCTTTAAAAGATATTCAAATTTAATTTAAAAAATTTACACTTTGCCTAATTTTTCAGCTCTTTTTGTTTATAGGTGGAGCAGGGAGCAGATCCATGACTCCAAAAAGGATGTTAAACAACAGTCTAGTATCCTCACAAAGTTAGGAAAAGGCAAAATAACAAATGTGGTGCCACTTCACTGGTGTGGAATTCACTTCAAGCTTTTCAAAACCAATTTACTTTCAATGTTGTCAGCCTGGGCGGCATGGTGGTGTGGTGGTTAGCACTGTCGCCTCCCAGCAAGAGGGTTCTGGGTTGAAGTCCCGGGGGAACCAGGACCAGAGGGTTCTGGGTCGGAGTCCCGGGGGAACCAGGACCAGAGGGTTCTGGGTCGGAGTCCCGGGGAACCAGGACCAGAGGGTTCTGGGTCGGAGTCCCGGGGGAACCAGGACCTTTCTGGGTGGTTCTGCATGTTCTCCCTGTGTCTGTGGGTTCTCTCCGGGTTCTCCGGCTTCCTCCCACCGTCCAAAAACCTGCATGTGAAGCTGATTGGAGATTGGGGAAATTGCCCTTAGGAGTGGATGTGAGTGTGTGTGGTTGTTGGTCCTTGTGTGTCTCTGTGTGTCCCTGTGATGGACTGGCGGACTGTCCAGGGTGTAGCCTGCCTCTCGCCCGTTGAGCACTGGGATAGGCTCCAGTTCCCCCCGCGACCCCATCAGGGAATAAGCGGTATTGATAATGGATGGATGGATGGATGTTGTCAGCCTTCAGTTTGAGTCATCAGTTTGTCTTGGTCTTTGTCTTGCCAGTTATTATTCTTGACCAAAACAACCTGAGTTTCAGTCGGAATAAAGCAAAGACAAAAAACAGACAAAAAAAAGAAGGAATAGAGAGCTGTCAGATAGGTTTCCTTTGGGTTTTTCTGAGTTTTTTGTCTGCGTCACGCCCTCATGCACACCTAGAGGAAGGTGATGCGTTCAGGTGCACTCGGGATATCTGAATACCAGCCAAAACTATGGAAAAACCACAGTGCATCTAAAGAAGCTGGTACTTCCTATTGCTTCTTATTCCCACTCACCCCAGTTGTCACGTCTGGTGTGTTGTCATGTGTTGATTACCTATTGTGTTCACCTGGGGTTCCCCTCCCTCATGTGTTTAAATAGTCCTCGTTTCCCATGTCCTGTGCCAGTGTGTTTTCGTCTTTCGTCCTTCTTGTTTCGTCTGTCTGTTTTCGTCACCCCATGTTCAGGTTTGATTTTGTCACAGCCTTGTTCACTTTACTGCCATAGTCTTGTTTTGAACCATAGCCACAGTTTTCGTCATAGCCCTGTTTTGTTGATCATGATTTGATACTTTGCCACAGTCTTGTTAGCTTATTGCTTTGATACTTTGCTCATAGTTTTTCACAGCCTTGATTTGAACTTTGTCTGGACATTCACTTTTTTTAACCTGTTTTGTTACAACAGGGGTCGGGAACCTTTTTGACTAAGAGAGCCATGAAAGCAAAAAATTTGGAAATTTATTTCAGTGAGAACCATATAATATATAACTAAATGTCAGTATAACAAGCCTCTGAATTTATTCTTTTGAATAATGTTGTTATAATACTCGTGTCGAAGTGCTGCTTTACATTCGACCGTTTCATCCATGCAATTTTTGTCATTGCAAATTAGACAAACCGCAGAATTTGCTCTCCACAA